TTCTTTACCTCTTTGCCTTTTGGCTGCGTGCAAGTGGGTCCTTGTGACACACGGGGATGGGGGCCGCCAGCGCTCAACCTGTCATCCACGTGGCTGGCCTTGTACGTAAGAGGTTATGAACAGGTGGAGCTTTCCTTACCTCCTTCCCCTTCCCCTTTTTTCCTATATATATATATATGTATGTATGTATGTATACACTACTAAAGAGAGAGAGAGAGAGAGAGAGAGAGAGAGAGAGAGAGAGAGTTGGATGGTTAGTGTAATGATCAACAGGTAGTGTGTTGATGGAGTGGGAAAAGCGAATCGTATGGGATTAGGAATGGGAGAGGTGCTGACTTGATGTATTGAGCTCGTTATTGAAGGGCTACTCCTCATTTTCTTTATCTCTTCTTTAACCCTTCCTCTGGTCTCTTAAACTCGTTACTTCGTTCCCGATAGTGTTTTGTGTGTGATGATGCCATGTATGGTGTTGTGGCCTTCTCAGGTATACGATGGTTACGATATTTGTCTTTACCTCGTTGTTCTTTGCATTTTCTCACATGTTTGTATTTTCTGTTGTCTCATTTTCCCCTTCGATTACATTTCCTGGCATGTTCAGTTTCACTATATTGCTTTAATTGCGGTACGACTATTTGGGGGTGTAGGTGGTGACCGTGGTGCACCATAGCCACATCACAAGAGTGGATCACATCAACGAGAGAGAGAGAGAGAGAGAGAGAGAGAGAGAGAGAGAGAGAGAGAGTGACGTTGCTATTTGCCTTTGCGTACGTGCACCTCACCACGTTCGCACTTTGAGAAAGGTGAGTCGTGTTTTATCTTCTTGTTACTATACATTCGTTTTGCTTTGTACGATTCTGTATTCAGGTTTCATAATTTTGTGGGTCTATATCATGTCTTGATCTTAAGTTACATTTATATACTCAAGTTTACAAGATCAGCCAATTGTGAGCTTACATCTGTTGTCTGTCTTGTATCTTCAACTCTTCGAAGTAGTATGTAATATTTTAGTGTACTTGTTTAAAGTGACTTTTCATTAAATATTGCATGGCACGTGAAACGAAACAACGCATTCATTCTATCCAAGGAGCACGAGGGGCAGGGAGTTCAATGGGAGAACGCTTTTGTTACTTCTCTTCGTTGAGGCTTTCTTCATGTACGTAATGAAACGGTATGTGAGGAGGGATGAGGAAAAAGGGAGAAGTGATGAGGACGAAGGACTTAGACGGACACTTTTTTCATTGCTTTTAATGAAAATCTAGCTGATAGTTTTCCCAGGTGAGCAGGATGGAGGGAGAGGGTATGAAAGGAGGAAGAAGGGAGGGGGGAAGAAGGCAGTTCAGGAAGGAGAAGAGGGGAGGGAGGAAGATGTTACGTAAGGAGGGAGAAGTGAGGGAGTTTGAGGAGCTGTTAGAGGGTCACCCATCAATGCCCTCAAATAGTTCGGGCTCTGGAAGTTGAAGCAGAGACCAGTTTGTAATTTGTTTTTATGCTCTATAAGCTATCGGCTTTTCTACTGTTATTAACTATGCTTCTATTCTTCTTTGGTGCTCATGCATATGTTCATGCTCCACTTCGTTTGGTGGTTCGCTTACCGGTTCATTGATTGCTGGTTGATTTGGTGGTGAAGTAGTTCGTTTGTTCACCGATTCATTGGCTGGTTCATTCGCTGGTACATTCCGCCGGAAAAATAAAATTCATCATGGTTCACTAACTCGTTCATTTTCCACTTCGTTTGTTGGTTCGTTTAATCGGTCATTGATTGCTGGTTGATTTGGTGGTGTAGTAGTTGGTTCATTCACCGATTTATTGGTTGGTTCATTCGCTGGTACATTCGTTGGTACATTCCGCCGAAAAAATGAAATTGATCATGATAAAAAAAAGACCTTATTTCGGTTTTCGTGAAAATGGATTGATTGATTGATAAATTGATTGATTAATTGATTAATTGATTAGTTGAGTGTTTGATTGTTTGATTGTTTGATTGATTGATTGATTGACCTATTGGTTGATTGATCGGTCATCAATCAATCAATCAATCAATCAATCAATCAATCAGTATCTGGTACCTAGGTTCACATGCACACGTTAATGATGATGCTATATTCAATATAGCATATAAGTTGGTTCTGGGTGAGGGTCTGGAATTGGGTTTGGATGGCCAAGTCATGTCGAACCGTATCTACGTCCTGTGTCTAGAACAAGGACTGGGTTTGGATTTGGTTCTGGATGTGGATGTGAACCTAGGTTAGGAGTATGAATATGGATTTTCGTCTAGATCCAAATAAGGATATGAGTCTGACATGCAGGTCAGAGGCCTATCCTGGATTTGCTGCTCATTGTAGACTTGTATGTCGATATAGAGTGACAGTTCTTTTGCTGATGTTGTCATGAACATATTGTCTGCATCCCTATGTCAATGTTGATGTTATGTTCAACGAAGAGTCCCGGTCCTTAGATTTGTGTTGTTGATGCTATCTTCAAAGTTGGATGAGGATGCACAACTTGATTTTTATCTTACTTTTGATATGGCACAGGTGTTGGGTCTGGGTCAGAACCCTCGGTTACGGTTCGGGTGTAGGTGTGCGTTAGAAGTCTAGGGTATGTAGGATAGGATATTGCGGGGTTGTTGCATTGGGTCTGGGCGTCCGGAGTCTCGGGTTTTGTTTGGAGCGAGCAGCCTTTGTGTTTGAGGTTTGAAATTGCGTTGGGATTTGTTCTGTAGACCTGCAGCCTTCCATGTGGATTTGTGTTTGAGTCTTATGTCTTCAACATGATGTGGGCATGCCTCTCCAGGGTTGGACCTCCGGTCAAAAGGTTAGGGTTGGGTCCGAGTCCACATATCTTGGACCTCCAGTCTAAAGTGTTGGTGATGGTACAGTTGTCATGCTTGTATCTCCAACGAAAGGTGGATAAGACCCTAAGCATGAAACGTTGTTCTTGGGGTTTGATATTCTTCTGTGTAAAATCCGAGTCTATTTATTAGTCTGTTCAATGTTCAACAGAGCATTGGCGTTTAGACTGATATACGACAAAACATCCTTCTTGGCTCACTTCCTAACATGGTGGGTGGCTTACTCCCTAGCACGGTGTTAAGACCGATAACCAACCTAGGACTTTCAGTCTAGGCAATTCCCTGTTTGGTTGCCGCTACCAATGGTTTATCTTTTCCCACTCAATTAGATGCTTAAATGGGTTGGGTGTCCGACCTAAGATGAAAAGGGAAGGCGACCTACCTCCACATCTTGAACCGGACACCCCCTATCGCCCGCCCACCTTCAGCCGATAGGAGAGCACGAAAAGCTTCGAGTATGTATACCAGAGGCAGGGTGTTGCGTGCCGTTTTCCAGGAAACGAAGACCACACACCCACACACAGGTATTACGAGGGAACAACATACATGCAGGAAAGCGGTGGGGCAAGTTGTTCACATGGTGGTACAGGTAGCTACAGATTTGAACTTCTATCTGTATTTGAAGTTCATTTGATTGCATGTGGTTAATAAAATTGACTATGAATTACAACACCTTATAGGTGTCCCAAATGAGCGACGCCCATCTTGTGTGATTTCTTTTGCGCTTTTTTTATGAGTGCATTTCGACGTTTGTTTCTAAGTTTGAAGTTATTTACTATCTAGATTATTTGAATTGTCATCACCACAATCCGGTTAGATCACTTTGTCTGATTACTAGTCTTGCATAGCCGTTAGATTGTTGCTTTATGAGTGATTAGATTTTTGTTAGATCGGCTCTACATTGCTAGTAGGTCACCGTTTTAGTTATTTTGTTTGACCACTTGTACATTGCAAATCAATGCTTTTGCCTTTCTGTCGTATGTCTTTTCATAGTTCGGTTGTCTTAAGAGTGCTATTGTTATGCTGAAATTAGATTGTCGTTGTTATATTCCTATTAGTTTGTTTTTGCAATGTCCTTACAATATTGTTTTATATTTGTAGAAACCTTGTTACATTGTTAGCAGACCGTTTTGATCAATTGTGGATTTGTCATTTTTAAGTGAAGTATGCCAGCAAGGGTTCAAACATCGTGTAACTATACAAAGCTTCGTACTTATTATGAAATTAGCATGTACTCATTTTTTTGCTTTACCTTACCGTCTCTTTTGGACTTTCGTTTTTGTCGATTACTGCTGTTCTGCGCAGTGCTGGGGAATACAGGTCACAAGAAAACTGGTCCAAGTGAATCGAGTCAATCGACGACTTTCGCCATGCCTACAGACGATGGGTCAAGTGCACATACAGACAAGCACACCACAAACACACTGCCAATCACAACACACCCTCACACACCGGTGCATGAAATCCAATATTTATGTCATACCAAATCATTCGGATTTCACTTGTTTGAATTTTTATATGCACAATATGCCATAATCACAACTATTTTCACATTCTTCTGTGTCAGAAGCTCTCACAAATTTTGTTCAATAAAATTCACAAAGATTACAAGATGGCGGTGGAGCGGAGCAGGGGAGGGGAGGGTGGAGTCACTAGACCACGTGTCCGGAGGGGGTTTGCTGAAATCGTTAGAGTGCGAGGGGACGATGGAGATCTTGAGGCAGGCGGGGGGGGGGGGGGGGGGGGGGGGGGGGGGGGGGGGGGGGGGGGGGGGGGGGGGGGGGGGGGGGGGGGGGTCCAGGGCAAGATGGCAGGTTATGGTCGATGAGGAAATCGGCAAAGAAGATGGAAAAGCGCGTCGCACAGGGAAAAGATGACATTCACTGAGCGTCTAGAGTCGTGTGCAACGTTAGTGACCGGTCCGTGGGGTGATGGGTTTGAGGCAAAGCACATCCGATACCACACGGTGCGCATGAAATGTCTTGTTTTCTCTGCCTTCGGAAATGTTGTCCAACTGGTGTGAGCCTGGCAGAACAAGATAAGCGCATACTATTGGGCGGCTGTTTTGTGGTAGTGTCATGGAATGACTGGTAAGTGTTGCAAAGAGACCCTCTTTTACCCTTGAATATTATGTTCGTAGCACGTAAATTTCTTCATTGTTGTTATGCATGAACTATCCGGTCATTCAACGTTCATTATCGTATTCCGAATCTTCAGTTTCACGTGCATTTATATTTTGTGAAGTTGTGCAACAATGTGCCTGTTCATCTAAATGCATAGTTTTGGTCATATAATCAAGAAATCGTAGGCTTCGGTTTTGGGTCATGATTTGGGTTGCAGGTCTGACCGTGATGTGTAGGGTCTGGGTCACATGCAGTGGTCTGGGTTCGGTTTTGGGTCGAAAGTCTGGTTGCGATTCTTAGGGTCTGGGTCGCATGTCGGGGTCAGGGTCCGGGTCGCACGTATGGGCTATGTTCGACTAAACACCTTGGTCCCCACAGGTGTGGTCTGCAAGCACCCATGAATTTGAGATACCCCGTTGGGTTTCGATCAGCTTAGTAAAGTTGTGCTGTAATGTGCATGTTCATCTAAATGCATGAGTTGATTTTGATGATATGTTCAAGAAAGCATAGGGTTTGGTTTTGGGTCAAGGTCTGGGCAACAACTCTAGTTGTGATGGTTATGGTTTGGGTCACATGTCGGGGTCAGGGTTCAGGTCACAGGTCTGGGTTACGGTCCCCTTATGTACATTGATCTTATGTTGAACTAAGCGTCTGGGTCCCCACAAGTGTGGTGTGGAAGCCACCAATGAATTTGATGTATCGATGTGAGTTTCTATCGGCTTAGTGAAGTAACTATTGTGCTACAAGGTGCATGTTCATCTAAATGCATAGGTTAATGTTGATGATATGTTGAAGAAAGCATAGTGCGCGGTTTGGGTCAAGGTCTGGGTCGCAGGTCTGGTCGCGATTCTTAGGGTCTGGGTCACATGTCGAGGTCAGAGTCTAGGTCACATGTATGGCCAACGGTCCCCTTCTGTACGTTGATCTATTATTCAACTAAATGTCCGGGTCTTCACAGGTATGGTTTGGAAGCACCCATGAATTTGAGGTGCTGAATTGGGGTTAGATCAGCCTAGTGAAGTTGCGCTACAATCTGTATGTTCACTAAATGTAAAAGTTAATTTTTTTGATATGTTGAAGAAAGTATAGGGCTTGGTTTTGGGGCAACATCTGGGTCGCAGGTGTGGCTGTGATGCATAGGGTTTGGGTCACATGTCGGGGCCAGGGTCCAGGTCACATGTGTGGGTTAGGGTCTTCGTATGTACGTTGATCTCATGTGCAATTGAGCGTTCGGGTCCCCATATCTATTGTGATCATGCGTTCTGTTTCAACTTTATTTAAGTCCAACATCTCACTAAGTGTCTGAGTTCCTGAACGGAGTTTTGACATAGAATTGTGGGCACCTGTTCGTGTTCTGGATGCGGGTTTGGGCGTTTTGAGTCTCAGGCAAGGTTTGGAAGCGCTCATGAATTTGAGGTACCGAATATGGTTTAAGATCGGCTTAGTTAAGTTGTGCTATAATGTGCATGTTAATCGAAATGTATAAGTTTATTTTGATGAAATGTTCAAGAAAGCATAGGGTTTGGTTTAGGGACAAGTATGAGTCGCACGTCTGGTTCGCATGCTTAGGGTCTGGGTTGGAGGTCTTGTTGTGATGATTACGGTCCGGGTCACATGTCGGGGTCAGGGTCCAGGTCACAGGTCCGGTTTAGGGTCCCCGTATATACGTTGATCTTATGTTAAACTAAGCGTCCGAGTCCCCCATGTGCGTTTTCATGATGTGGTCTGTTCTATTGAAATTTGTCCAAGTCCAGCGTTTGGCTAAGTGTCTGGGTTGCGGAATGGAGTAGAATTGTGGGACTGTGTTCGAGTTCCGGATGCAGGTTTGGGCGTATTGAGTGTCAGGTATGGTCTGGAAGCCCCCATGAATTCGAGGTACAAATTTGGGTTTAGATCGGCTTAGTGAAGTTGTACTACAATGTGCGTGTTCATCGAAATGGATAAGTTTATTTTGATGATATGTTTTAGAAAGGATAGGGTTCGGTTTCAAGTCAAGGTTTGGGTCGCTGGTCTGCTCGTGATGCTCTGGGTCCGGGTTGTCGGGGGCGGGATTTAGGTCACAGGTCTGGGTGTAGGTCCCCGCACAAAAGTTGATCTTATGTTCAACTAAGCATCCGGGTCCCCCTAGGTGTTTTGATGATGTGGTCTGTTGTATTTGAAACTTTGTCTACATACAGTGTTTGGCTCAGTGTTTGGGTTGCCAAATGGAGTTTTGACAAAGAATTGTGGGCTTGTATTTGAGTTCTGAATGCAGGTTTAGGCGTGTCGAGTCTCAGGTACGGTCTAAAAGCACTCATGAATTTGAGGTATCGAATTGGGTTTAGGTCGGCTTAGTGAAGTTGTGCTACAAAAAGTTAATTTTGATGATATGGTTCGGTTTCGGGTCAAGGTCTGGGTTGCAGGTCTGGTCGTTATGCTTAGGGTCGGGGACGTATGTCGTCATGAGGGTGTACGCCACAGGTCTTGTTTAGGGTCTCCGTATATACGTTGATGTTATGTTCAACAAAGCATTAAGGTACCGATTTTGTTTTTGATGATGTGTTCTATCACATTTGAAACTTTGTTTAAGTCATTCGTCAGGATCTGTGTTTGGGTTGGTGAATGGAGTTTTGACATAGGATTGCGGGCCTGGCTTCCTTTTGTGGAAGCGAGTGTTTAGTGTCTTAAGTCTCACGTATGGTTTTGAGCCACCCGTACATTTAAGGTACCGAATTGGGTTTAGATCGGCTTAGTGCAATCGTGCTGCAATGTGCATGTTCAACTAAATGCATAAGTTTCTTTGATGACATGTTTAAGAAAATATAGGGTTCGGTTCTGGGTCAAGTTGTGGGTCGCAGGTTTGATCGTAAAGGTCTGGGTCACATGTCGGGGCTAGGGTCCCCGTATGTACGTTGATCTTAAGTTCAACTAAGCATCCGGGTCCCCGTATCAATTTTGAGAGTATGTTCTGTTCCATTTCAAGCTTAGTGTTCGAGTTGCGAATGTGGGATTGCCTGTCTTTGGTCTGAAGTATTGTCTTGGAGCATCTATGAATTTGAGGTATCGAATCGGGTTTAGATCGACTTAGCAAAGTTGTGGTACGATGTGCATGTTCATGTAAATGCATAACTTAATGTTGATGACATGTTTAAGAAAGCATAGGGTTTGGTTTTGAGTCAAGATCTTGGTGGCAGGCAGGCCGTGACGTTAGGGCTAGGGTTACAGGTCTGAGTTGGAACCTGAGTCGCATGTCAAGGTGACCCTTGCAATGTCTTAAAAAACTGATTGCATCATTTCGACGAAAAAAACTACAACCCAAAACCATGAGCATTGCAGGTCACTTGCCTACGCGTCGAAGTATTGCAAAATTTTTATGATATATATATTTTTTTCTCGCCTCGATTTATGTTTGTTCATTATCTTTTTAATTCCTTGCTACAACGTGGAACTCGTCTCTCTTGCAGGGCTCCTGTGAAACACATTTGTCTTCGCTGCATTTCCGAGTTACGTGCTCTGTTGCGCATTCGCAAAGCGGTAAGCGCTTTCTTCCTTGCCAACCCATTTCGGAGTCAGGGACTTTATTTTCTTGAATATCGCTTTGAATGATCGTATGCCACTCTTTTGTTGTTTTTTTTTTCTACTGTTTTTTTAGATGACCATAGTTTTGACGTTTTTTTCTATGTTGTGACCGCACTCTTACGAAAGCTGTTTTTTTATTTTCTGAACGTAAGCACGACGTGGGAGTCCATCTGAGAATAAATCTTGGTTTCATGTCTAAAAGTCTATCAGACTAGGATTTTGGCTTCACGACAGGGAGTCGGGACTGTGATTGGGGATTAAGACGGGGGATTAGGATCTTGTACTTGGGAATGCAACCTGGGACCGAGGATTTTGGAGTGAATGCTCACTCAAAAATCTTGGTCAAAGCCTGTTTGTGTCACACGTTTGGGTTCACATATGCAGGTTAGGATTTTGATATGGTGTCACGGTGAAAAGTCGATATCTCAGACCAGGGTCACAGGTCTGGGTGAGAGGTCTGGTCAAAAAGATTGTGTTAGAGGTCTGCTTCATGGAATAGGGTTTGGGCAATGCGTTGTTGAGGGTCAAGGTCACATGTTTTCGGTCAGCGTGTGGATTGCGGGTGAGGATCCGAATTGCTCCTCTCTTTGCTGCCTGTTGTTATCTGAGCTCAGAATCTCTTGTCGTTTCACGGTCCGGATTACATGTTTTGGGTCAGGGTCTTTGGTCATGATGCTCAGGATCTGTGGTCGGCATGCTTAACATCTCGGTCACAAGTTTTGGGTTGGTGTCTGGATTGTAGGAGCTTGCTCCTTGTATTCTTTTGCTGCCTGTCTTTATCTGAGCAAGTTTTTTCTTTTGTTTGTTTGTATGGTTTATGGCAACGTTCGTGTATGGTGAGCAGCGATGGCTGGAGAGAATACAGCCGGCAGCTCATCTGCCAATATCATACAAGGCGCAGAACGAGATATTTGGATAGTGTTAACGAACGAAATGAACAAATTTAAATCGGAGACCAAGATCTACGGGGAGGAAGTACAGAGAACGCTAAGTGATATTTTGGGTCGGCTCTTCGCGTTAGAGTGTTGGGTTTAAGAGAAGGGGGGTGTGGCTGGGGAGGGAGCCCAAAATGAAGGAACCTCGAAATAAACAATGACGGGATCGAGAGGAAGAGGAAAGAGAAAGAGGGTGCAGGTGGAGTGTAAGGGGGAGGGGGTGAAGAAAAAGGGGGAGCAGGAAAAGAGGGCGGAGGGGGTGAAGAGAAAGGGGGAGCAGGAGAAGAGAGGGGAGTGGGTGAAGAAAAAGGGGGAGCAGGTGAAGAAGGTGCATGAGGTGGAAAAGAATAGGGAGGAGGTGAAGAAGAAGCTCGATGAGGTGGAGAAGGAGGAGGAGGTGAAAAAGCAGGGTGAGGAGGTGAAGAATAAGGGGGAGGAGTCGAAGGTGAAAAAGAATGGGGAGGAGGTGGAGAAGAAAAGGGACCAGGTGGAGAAGATGGGGAGGGAAGCTTTTGATGTTCAGCGACCCGAGGATAGGGGAATTGTTGCTTTGAAAAATCTGGTGGACAGTCAAAAAATAGAGTTGGAGGCAATCAGAGCAGAGGTCCTGACAATGGGGACGCATATGGCGTTGCTGAAGGCTGAAGTAGAGGAATATAAAAATAGAGGTAGAGGAAAGAAGAAGATGGAGGAGGCGGAGGTGCAAGAAATACAGTCTGCAGAGCAGCAAATGGTATTGTATAAGGCGGAAGGGGAGGAAAGACAGGAGGCGCAAGATAGAGGTATAAGAACTCTGCTGGTGAGGAGTGAGCCACATAAGCAGGAGGGCCAGGTGCAGAGTGGTGTGCAGCAGGTGGCGAAAAAGTGTCACTATTGCAAACAGGACGGTCACCTGGCCTTCCGTTGTGTCCACTATGATTGTGATTTCGCGCACGGTTTCGTGCGACGTGAACATAGAGGTAGCAATGTAGTATATCTTGATTATTGGGGTCAGGCCATACATATGGCGACGCCGGATGGGATAAGGGCTGAATTGTACAGGCATTTGACGACTTTCTATTCACGGCTTCTCCGGCTGTCCCGGCCGCATTCCGTAATAGTGGTAGGGTTTGGTGAGCCTAGCTTGGGTACAATGCTAGGCATGTGAAAGAAAAAAAAGAGTCATTATATTATGAGGTTTGTTGAGTTATCAGCCTCAAGTCAGCCCGGAGTTCGCTTTTGCACTCTGGATTTGTGTTGAGGTTTGGCGTGATAAGATTGTTTACTTGCCAGCTTATAGGTGATGTTATTTTTAGCAGAGAGAGAGAGAGAGAGAGAGAGAGAGAGGGAGTGAGGTAGACAGAGAGAGAGAGAGAGAGAGAGAGAGAGAGAGAGAGAGAGAGAGAGAGAGAGAGAGAGAGTAGTTTGTAGGTGATGTTATTGTCAGCGTAGAACTCGTGTCCTCATCTGTCTTGTTATCACAAACTCGTGTTCAGTATTTTGACAATATTTGCAATCGTGGTTGGTGTGCCGACTTTGACGCTACCTACAATATAAACCTCCTTTTGTTGGGTTGACATTGTGTAATTCAGCTTCTGATTCTTTTCTTTTCTTTCCCCCCCCAAGTCAACTTTGATGATCTTCACGATTGGTAATGTCTGTGTTGAGCTTATCTTCAAAACTGTATATGGATGTGAATGGAATCTGGCCATCGTCCTTGTTTTTGAAATGACATGGATGTTCCTGCGACCTCTTCCTCGTCTTCACTTAAGAGCCCTCATTAACATGACTTTTTATCTGTTTCGTTATCAACTTGAATGAGACAACTAGAACCCGTGTCTTCGAAGTTCATTATCTGCAACATATCATCGTGTGGTTGGTGTGCGTACTTCGACAGTACCTTCCATCGCATATTGGAGGTGGAGGTTGCAAAGTCTATGATGGACACCCCATGCAGATTTCATATTTGGAATTGGGAGCGTGGGCATGCTGTGTGGGCCTGATGAAATGGGGTCTGGAATAGGGTTTGGAAGAGGGTTTGGAACAGGGTTTGGAACAAGGTCTGGAACAAGGTCTGTAACAAGGTTTGAAATAAGATTTGGAATAGGGTCCGGGCATGCTTGTTGATTCTGTAGGAGTGACTCTTCATATAAAAAGTGTTTCTTTGTAAACTTGTGTGGGTTGGTCGGGGCCAAGGTCTAACATGTGATGCAGTTTATCCTCGTCTAAGCCAAGGGTATGTTTGAACCCCCCCCCCCYCCCCCCCCCCCCGTCAATGTCAAAGGAGCAGCACATATGACAAAGTCAAATGAGCCTCTCCTAAAGGTTAGGGGACTCGCCCCATAGACGGCAGGAGGGAATCAGCGAGGGATTTTTTTTTCTATCCCGCACAATGTCAGTGCTTACCCTGCGGCGTGGGACAAAAAGTTTGGAGTGATCTGTCAATATGTATCGTTTGGCCTAAGCAGTCAGAATCCGGCCTTGACTTCGATTTTGGTGATGGGTCATCTAGGGGGGTTTGGGGGGGTATAAACAGTGACTAAAGGGGTGTAAACCACCACTACATCCGATCCTATTTTTACCGACCCTGCATTTCACTGCGCACCGAGTCTTGTACAACCTGGGTCGCATTGTGTTTTGTTTTCTGGTACTCTCCGGAAATGAAAGGGAAAAAAAAAATCGAAATAAAAGGAAAGACAACTAGAAGCAGGGGACGTGAAAGCGGCTGGAGGGCGTTGCCGCCGTCAACAAACATAAGGCGTAGAAAGAAAATATAATAACTCTTTGGAGAAAAAAAACAGTTGGGCGTTGCAGCCTATTGCAAAACACGGATCTGTGGAAAAAAAAAAAAAAACGTACAAGCATTTGCACACGAAAACAACTTGATACAGAATGTTGAGCACATACGAGGCTACAGCCCCGTCGGTTGCAAGTGTCAGCTGTCCGCGGAAAGCGCCCTGCTTCATTGGCAGGGCATACGAAGAGAGCAGCTACGGAAGAAAAAAAAAACCGAGACAAGCAAGGATTCTGGGCAGATGCATTCCTGAAAGCACCACTTAGAACACACTTCCTTCACGGCTTCCCGCCCCCCACATCGTTCCTTTCAGCTATGCACCTCACTTTTTTTGTCTTTTTCGTTTTGGTAGCAACTGTCAGCTGTCTGCGGAAAGCGCCTTGCGTCCTTGCTAGGGCACTAAAACGAAACGAAGAAAACAACACAAAACAAAAAAAAAGAAGAAAATGAAGAAGCAATGAGTGTTCTCAATTTCATTCCTAACCACCGCCACTCTAAGCACACCTTCACGGCTTGGAGGTCGTGGTTCCTGGGTGGATCATCTCAGTTTCGGTCGGGTTGAAGGTCGTGGTCTTGGACTGTGTCTGGGTCTGTGTGTGGGTCAGGGTTTGGGTCTGAGTCTCGGTCAGGGTCTGGGTCAAGGTCCGAGTTCAGGTCAGGGTCTTGGTCCGGATCGAAATCGGGGTCAGGGTGCGGGTTTGGGTCTGAGTCAGGGTCAAGGTCACGGTCAGGGTCAACGACGGGATTGAGAGGAGGAGGGGGAAAGAGAAAGAGGGTGGAGGTGGAGAAGAGGAGGGAGGGGGTGAAGAAAAAGGGGGAGTAGGTAAAGAAGGTGCATGAGGTGGAAAAGAATACGGAGGAGGTGAAAAAAAAGCTTGATGAGGTCTATAAGGAGGCGGTGAAGAAAAAGGGTGAGGAGGTGAAGAATAAGGGTGAGGAGGTGGAGAAGAATGGGGAGGAGGTGGAGAAGAAAGGGGAGGAGGTGGAAATTATTGCGCTGAGAAATCCGGTGGATAGTCAAAAAATAGTGTTGGATGAAATCAGAGCAGAGGTTGCGACTATGGGGACGCACATGGGATTTCTTTTCTGTCCCGCACAGTGTCAATGCCTACCCCGCGGCGTGGGACAAAACGTTTGGTGTGATGTGTCAATGTATAATCTGGGTTTGGGTCAAGGTCTGATGAGTATGCAATTTGATGTTATTTTGTTGCGGACTACATTTTTCTTCATATTGTGCACTTCTATTTTAATTTAGTAAATTTATAATAATCTAAGTCGGACCGTCGCCCAGCTCGTGCATATGGACAGAGAGGGGGGGGTCGTCGGGCAAAACCTGACGGGTCAAAAAAAAGGCAAGGATCCCCCCCTGCAAAAAAAAAGACTTTAGGCATGGACTGCACTTGGCGTAAGCAGTTAGAATCCGGCCTTGAGAAAGGATTGTGGCTTGTGACAGTGATTGAGGGGTATAACCTGGGACTGTGGCAAGGACCTATGACACAAGGCAAGGACTTGGGATTGTGAATCAGGAATGACGGGGGAAACTCCGTAGTGGGACTAGCACTTCAGACTAGGACTAGGGTGTGGGATTTGTGTTGTGGCTTAGCTTGAGAGCGTTACAGTTTCTCATCCCTGACGACTTTGCTGCTTTAGCTGTTTTGGCCTCTTAACAACTTGTCCTCTTCTTTCAAATGGAAACATTAAAGGAGACCTTATATCCCTCACATTCCTTTGTTTCACATCATAAAGTATGATATTGAACATGTTTATTTGTTTGGTATGATCGACTCCTCACATTCCTTTGTTTGTGTGTATGTGGGTATGTCTGCAGCTCTGTTTCTTGCCTATCGATTTTTTGATGCAAGTCACACTCATCGTCTAGTCTGCAGAACAACGAAGGTACATGCAAATGTTTTCAAGTCCATAAGTCATTTTTCTAACACAAACTCAAAGCTGCAATTATTTCCATGTTCGGGGCATGTCTTCAAAATATCAATTTTGATGAATTACTTCAGTACACCTTTCTGCTCTTTTTTTTCAATTGTACTTAAATTTTTTTCTAAATTGGGATTTAATATTATTTTACGAATTTGTACATCTTTGTACAAGAATTAAGGAATTTCCTAGGTTGGTCCCCACGCTACCCCGTTGGGGGAAGATCGCCCGGGTACCCTCTCAGGCGGCCCGGGTAGGGCAGGGTCCCGGTCAGCCCCAACGCATAATATTTTAAAAAATAGAAAATACGAAACTAAATAAAAATATCTGGAATAAAAATATGTTAGATAAAATTGCAGTACAAGCAACTTTTGGCTGAGGGCCCCCTCGAAATTCGTTATTAATTTGAAAATAAAAATAAATCAGAAGAAATGAGGTGAGATTTACGGTCATTTACCCTTTTAAGCCCTAATTGTCACTGTTTAGAGTAACTTTATACAACCCCGAAGACTGCTGGGTGACCCACCACCGAAATGGAAGGTAAGGTTGGATTCTGACTGCTCAGGTCAAATGCAGTCCCGACATGCGTAGCCGAGCGATGGCTCAACCTAGGAAATTTTTACAATTCCAGATACTGAGTTTCTTAAAGCACCAATACTTCAAGGGCATTTTTGTACGAGGCCATAAGTGACCCGCCAGGGCAAAAAAATCTGTTTTTTTTGGTTGGCGCCACCAACCATTGTGGTCGGGTACTCTCGAAGCTCAAAAGCTGTAAAGCGCATACGACATCTACTCCCGCCAGATGTATAGGCCAAGTACTGGTGGTTTAATGATCTTCTATTTTTTTATATGCATTATATTCTCTCCTTGTGTCTGTTTTTTTGTTCGTAAAAAAAAACAAAAAATAGAATACATTGTTGTTTCAGCTCCTTCATCGTTTTGTATGTTCCTCTAGGGGCTTTTACTAGCCCTTGATTGAAAACGTGAAGGGGTAGGGGAAATCTTATAGAGAGCGGGATGGGGCATGATAGGAGGAGGTGGGTTAAGAGGTTTTGCTGACCATTGATCGAAAAAAAAACGAATTAAAAAAAAAAATAGAAAAAAAGAACTTAGGACACTAGCGAGGTTTTTTAGTAGTCATCGTGCGTGAGAGAGAGGAAGTTTTCCAATACAGGGGGGACAGTTCATTACGGTGATGCAAGCAGAGGAGGTGGATAATAAGGATAGTGTCAAAGTTGGAGGTGCAAAGGATAGGAATGCGTAACTGCAATCTGTAGTGTCACTCAACCAACGTGCTATAAAGCAAGGGGCACATAGGATTGATTTCTGTTTAGGTCTTTTGTTTGTTTTGTGTTAAATACGAGTGCGAAAGGATTACTTTGCAGTGATGGAAGGGGAAAGTTGCAACATACATGGCGGTTAATCTCCGAATGCAAAAGGCGGACATTCGCAACACGGTACGAGGAAAGTTGTTGTAGACTTTCTTGACATATCAGGAGAAGAGGATCACAACCAAAAAATAGACTAGTTGTGAAAGCGGGACAATGAATGTTTCTAATAGGGGAGTGTTGATGAAGGGAGTGCAAAAAGGTGAGAAGGGTGAATGAGTCGTAGTGACCAAAGGACAACGAGGAGTGGGAAGTGCAAAGGGGAAAGGTATGAGAGTCCGCACACATCGGAAGGTTGGCAAGGAGGGAAGAAGCTTACAAAATTTTATGACGGTCAGATGGGGTTCGTCGAAAGGACGATTGCGTGAGACCCTAATGGCGGCATGGAGATTTGCAGACCATCGAGCACATGAAGAGAAAAGGAAGAGAAGACGGACTCCATAAACGGGAGCGTCATTAAGTATGCAAAAAAGAGTGAAGGAGGAATTGATGAAGGAAAGAGGGATGGGAGGGATCGAGGACTACAAGGAGGATGAAGAGGAGGAGGTAGAGAGGAAGGAGCAAGAAAGGGGGCACGAAGAACGCCAAGGGGAGCAGGATAAAGAGTCTGCGGAGCAATATGAGGAGGAGAAGGTGGAGGAGAAGCAGGAGGAGGGGAAGGAAGAAGAGTATGAGGACAAGGAGGGAGATGCATCATCACGGAGGCATGAAGAACCCCAAGGGAAGCAGGAGAAAGAGTCTGCGGAGCAATCCGAGGAGGAGGAGGTGGGGGAGAAGCAGGAGGAGGGGAAGGTACAAGAGTATGAGGACAAGGAGGGAGATGCATCATCACGGAGGCATGAGGAACCCCAAGAGGAGCAGGAGAAAGAGTCTGAGGAGGAGGAGGTGGAGGAGAAGCAGGAGGAGGGGAAGGAAGAAGAGTATGAGGACAAGGAGGGAAATGCATCATCACAGAGGGATGCTGTTATCCAGGTCGGGAGTGGAAGTAGGGGGGGAGGGCAATCTCGCGAACGTTGTTTAAACGAACAATATGACTCGATGGACAAAATGGATGACGATACTGTCGGAAGAGAAAATTTGGTGGACGAAATACTTGGGGGCGACAGAATGGGACGAGAGGGGGAGAGGTGTAGTGAGGAGAAGAGGGAGGAAGAGCAGTTAGAGGGGCAGCAAGACGATCTGCAGGGGGAGCAATCTGAGCAGTTGGTGGAGGAGACAGAGTCGGAGGAGGAGAGGAGGGAACGACGATCAGGGAAGAGGAGGATCATCCCAGGTGGACATGAGTGGAGGGGGGAAGGTCAATTAAGCGGGAAAGATGAAGAGGTGGACATTGATGAAGAGGGTGGGATGAAAGTCATAGGGACAAGTGAGAGGACAAGAGGGAGGAGGGTACTGAACAACCGAGAGGCAATTGAGCTCTGTAGTGGAGAGGCGAGGTTAGAGGACATCAGCGAAGATATTGAGGAAATGAGAAACGACATGGAGCAACCGGATGAGGACGTGAGAGGGGCAAGACCGGAGCAATATGAGGAGGTTGTTGAAGAGAGCGGTGGACAAAGAAGTGGGAGGAGGGGAAGACGAAGACTATTGCACGAAGAAAGGAATGAAGATAGCGAAGAACTAAGAAATGTGGCAGAGAGACGGAATGAAACAGAGAGCAAGGGAAGAGCACCACATGGAGACGTTGCTGAGGAGAGCATGAGAGACGCGAGGGGCGGTGAGGGAGGAAAGGGAACGAGTGGGAGGGGAAGGACAAGGCAATTAAATGAAGAGGGGGTCGAAGTTGGTGATGGAGAGGATAGCGTTGATGAAGGCAAATAAGAGGAGGACGAGGATGGCATAAAGGATATGGAACCGGAAGATTTGACTGACTTGATGTCGGATTGGACGGGTGAGAGATCATACTTCAAGAGCGGCGACAGAGTGGACCAACAAAACCATGAAATGGTTAGAGAGCATCTACAATTAGATTCGGATCGCTATGCTTTTGACCAGTCAAAGGTCGGGCCTCAAAAACTGCAAGGCTTACGAGATATGCCACCTCGCGAACTTTTTTTTAAGCTTCGGCCGCCTCAGTTGTTTGAAATGATAGCGAAAGAGACAAATGCGTATGCGGACCTGTGGCAAGTGGCAGCACGAAGAGAAGGGCAAACGCCTCGGAAGTGGAGGCCGACGGACAAGATAGAGCTTATAGGATTTTTTGGAATAACTTTGTCCATGGGTTTCGTCCGCCTGCCGAATATGGACGATTATTGGAGAGGCGGGGATTACGGGGCGGTGTCTTTTGCTGACTTTGGAAAGGTTATCTCAAAGAAGCGATTTGAAAACTTAAAGCGGTACATCCATCTTCGAGATAAAACAGAGAGGCCTCAAGACACCAATACGAGAGAATACCGCCTTTGGCAGTTACAACCGCTCATCGACGAGCTTCGACGCACTGCTCGGAAGTACTACCACCCCGGGAAAGTGTTCTGTTTCGATGAGAGGATGATACCCATAAAGAACCACTATTGTCCTGTGAAGGTTGTCAATAAGAGGAAACCCCACCCAGAGGGAATTCAAGAGTGGAGCCTGAATGACTGTGAGACCAAATACCAGGTCGACTTTGATGTTTACGACAGAGTCCATCGACGTGCAGCGAAGCCTCGAACCCCAGGATGAAAGTTACAAAGAGAGAACCTGGGTGTATTTCAGAGAGTCGTGTGGGATATCGTGTCAGAACTCGGGCAAGGGCATATCGTTGTCATGGATCGAGCGTTTGCTGAAACGCACCTGTTTCAAATGTTGAAAAATGAAAAGGGCATCCTTGCCATTGGCCCTGTGAAGTTGCCATACACTTCAACACTGGAGGATGTGCGGTCATTGACACTGACTGCACCAGGAGATCCGTCGTCGGGACCGAGAGCACCAGAAGATGTGCGTGCCTCGAGWCGYARATTGTCCTTGCRTTTTCCATCGAGCCTTAGACTTTCTGGAGATGCACCGGTGGGTGCTGTAAAGTGGACACACACGCAAGCTCCACACACTGGGATGATTGCATGCGTTTGGAAAGCCAAAGAGGACAAACAACCATATGCGTTCTTATCAACTTCCCACGGTTGTAAGCCCGTGAGGGACGTTACGATTGGAATAGGAGGGCAACAAATTACTGTCGAGAAACCAGAATGTGTTTCCTTTTACTCGAAGCACTCAAGCGCCACCGATGCGTTCAACAGAATGTGTTTGGGGCGGATCGGTTGCGAGGAGTTCATGGTATCTCGAAGCTAGTGGCCGAGGTATATGTGGGGAAGGTTGGACGCGGTAGTGACTAATGCGTACATCCTACATAAGAGTGGATCGTCTTCAATGTTGAGGCATGAGAACTTCTGTTTGGAGTTGCAGCGGGAACTGGTAGACATAGCAAAGGCTGCATGGTCGCTGCCGAGGCAACCGGTTTTGCGCATTTATCGTAGGGCTGGGCGGGGAACCTCGGTAGAAAACCCTTATCTGGGGAGGTTCACGGAGGCTCATTATCCGGGCCGAACCCCGTCAAAAGCAGGAAAGTCTCATCAGGCATTCAATTGTGTGGTGTGCTCATCGCTCGAAAAGCGAGGATACCTCGGGTGGACAAAAACTCGCACTAGTTACATGTGTCAGATATGTGAAGAGTCGTTGTGTGCATCACCGTGTTTCAGACTCTTTCACCAGTATACCATAGACGGGTTTGATTTCAACTATCGACGTAGTACGCACACAGATGGAGGAAGAAAGAGAAAAAGAAGGACATTACAAGGTCAACATCTCCCTTTGGGAGCTGTGGTTAGAGGAGAGAAATTTCCAGTTGACTTGCCATACGAGGACACTATAATGGGCATAGGTGTGGAGAGGGAGGCCCAGGAAGAGGCCATGTTTGTGGCTTCTAGTGGGGATGGAAGCTCATGAAATCTCGAGCTGCAGTGCTTTTCAAAAGTTGGGCATGTACAGGGGATGAGTACAGCTTCACTGGTTTATACTGGAGATTAAAAGCAATATTGAGGATGCATAATTGATTTGTATTAACGAATAATAACAACATCGCTGATACGTACCACTTCATCACAGACACTTACTACTAGGAGTAACGATTTTGTTTGAACTTACATTTGCATTACAAAGTACAATAGGATGAAAACAACCAATAATATTGTAATCGTCAACTGATGCAGAATTCTTGCGAATGGACGGATGGAGATCTCGTGGATCATTGATGTGGGGTGTATTCTGTCCACAAGGGTGTGAGAAAATGCTGCACAGATACCTCACTCGTGAAGGCACGACGTTGACGATGTGCTCGCGGCAACAAGTCCTTAATTTCATTGTTAAGAGGTTGTGGAAAGTACCTGCAACAGCGATTGACATCTAGTTGTGGCGCGAGTGCAATTCGACAACTGTGCGGGATGAAATTTTAGAATACGCCATGAAATCAGTGGAATGGGTGGCCGGCATCTTCGAAGATGCTGGCCTCGGGGCGGCTACGAGTGCTTACAATCCTTGCAATCAACAAACCTTTGTAAATCAGATTAATCTTTAACTTCTTAATGTGTTGGAGACATGCATGGACGCTGTAAATGATTTGTCAATGCATAAGGGTGAGGTACATTATGTCGTTACATTACATCGGTGACACTTTCGAGAAGACCCATGTTTAGAAACATGGTCAGACATGATGTCGAAGGAATTAATAGAAAGTAAAAAAGGAGCGGACGAAAATTAGTATTACCGCGCAACAGGAACAAACATATGTACCCAATTAGAAGGAATTCAAAAGAAAAGAAAAAAAAAACACAAAAGAGCAGTGCGGTCCAGAGACGGAGACAAAGTGAAAGATAACAAATGTAGGAAAAGAAAATGCAACAAAGGAAGAAGGAACAAATTAAAAAAAAGAAAAGGAGCTTGGAAGGAAAAAAAAGGAAAAAAAATAGCAAATAAGAGGTAAGAGAAAGATTAAGGAAAATATAAAGGGACGAGATTGCTTAGCACGTCATGGAAGCGACGCATGAGCTGGAATGGAAATATAACCCAAAGAGAGAGGGAAAAAAAAATGGTTTGAAGGAAACTGAAAAAGGAAGATGAAAATTTTGAAAGGCATATGAAGTTCATGTTATACATAGTATTCGGAAATGATAATGGATGTAACATATTTCATAATAAAAAATCAGCTATTTTTTTATTTGGTCAATGTGAGGGAGGCTGTGGATGTAGGTTTGTGAGTATATTTCTGCTACTCTGTCTGTTTGTCTTCCAAAATGCCGAGAGCATAAACACGTGAAAGTGATGACATCAACACGTCAATGCACGTACATTAATCATCATTTTTTATTCGGTCAATGTGGGGGAGGCTGGGGATATACGTTTGTGAGCGTATTTCTGCTATTCTGTCTATTTGTCTTCCACAATGCCGAGAGCATAAACTCGTGAAAATGATGACATCAACAAGTCAATGCACGTACATTAATCATCGCTCGTCAACCAATACCTATTGTAACGCGCTTAGCAAAGGAAATGTTAATGTCAGCCTTACATCTCTCTCTCTCTCTCTCTCTCTCTCTCTCTCTCTCTCTTTTGCTTTCTCTCTCTCTCTCGAGATTTCCCTCTCCCTTTCTATGTCTTTGTATGTGTATGTGTGTGTCATTTTGTCTTCCATTAAGGTTTAGTAAGTTTTCAGGTCCAGTGGAGATCACTGTTTTTTTTTTGAACTACTGATTTGGAATAGGGTTCGGACAAAAATTCACGTTACTGGGAATATTGGTGCGCGTGTGGACAAATGAGTATGTGGGTATGGATGTGGATCGAGATTTTGATCTGGATATTAGTTAGGATATGGAGATAGAATGTAGTCAGTAACAACCTTTCATTGTATGATTGGTTTTGACATTCGGACAGGGCGCTGAATTGTTTTTCAACATAACATCATGATTGTTTGGTTAATGTCATAGATAAGTTCATTTTGCGAATCTCCTCTCATCAATGTTTTCATTATCTACAAAACAGGATCGGGGTTCCCACGCCCATAATGATATTGTTTTTTAAATTGTGCTTGGATGAACATGTCCAATAAGGAGGTTATGCTCAACGCAACAAATATGTTGTTGGTTTTTTTTTTTTTTTAATTACCATGTACATGTCGGTTATAACTTTAAGATAGTATAGTGATTTTTTTATAAGTATGGTGTCATAAGCCCTCAACATAACATTAGAAGTGCTTTCTCTGATTTGATTATATCTGCAATAAAACGCAGCACTGGACCTCGATTTTGATATGCATGTGGATGTGCATGTGGTTGTGCATATGGTTGTCGATCTCAATGAGACAGATCTCGGTCTAGACCCAAAAATGGATGAAGGTCTGGATATAACTTGTGGGTAAGGGGTCAATCGAGGTTTAAGCTCAAGCGATGTGTCTTTAGCCTCAGTTGTTTGTTTTCGTGTCATATTGGACACAGCTTGTTCATCCCCGTTTGTACATTCATGTTATTTTCAACAACGCGTTCGAGTCTCTATATCTAAGTTGATCTAATCTTAAAGGGTTCTAATAGTTTCCTCGTTTGAGTGCCTTGTCTGAGATGGATCTAGGTTCCAGAGGTTATGAATCTATTCGGGTAGTAATGCTTAGAGGTATGTCGAAAGTTCCCTAAAGCTTCAGGATGTGCTTCATGGCCCGTGATATAGTTGTGGTTTTGTATGTGATTTTCTCGCCTCGATCCGGTTTGCCATTGGCAGACCACGACGACGAGTATGCTTTTCGATCACAATTCATTTGCAAATCAGTTTTTTTGTCTGTGTTGGGATCAGGGTTTGGGTAAGAGTGTCTGAGGGTCTCCATGTAGTAAATGGTTTGCACATGGTAATGGTTAAGGTTCGACCCTCAATCCAATATCTACTCTTTTGGTCATGTCAGTGATATCTGAGGTCGTATAGATACAAGTTGAGGT